TGCTACGTGAGATGGAAAGGAGCTTGGAGCATGGAGATATCAGGGCAATGGAACCCACAGGTCTTGACCCTTGTCTGTCACTATTTGTTACAGTCTGTCTTCTGCTTTGGAATCCTCTTTAAGGCCCCCTCTGTGTGCTCTACCCCTGCTGCCAAGAACAGTACCCAGCAACCAGTAATCTACGTAGTATTTTTAAATAGTAGTACAGTGAAACAGTCAGTAGAATGAGCTCCTGATAGTGTTAAATGTTTCAGGAGGCAGAGATGCCAGCTAATACATGCATACTGTTTACTAGGTACGAAGCACTGCTTTAGCACTTGAACAAACTATATCATTTCATCCTCATGACAACCCAACTGTCTCTATTTACAGATGAGGAAACTGAGGCATAGAATGAGTGACTCGTAGTGAGGGCTCAGGAGTCACTTGAGTTGGATGTTGAGCTGGGATAGGCCGCAATAGCATTAAGAGAAGGCTTGACATCATTAGGGAGAGCTGCTTGGGGGCCAGAAGTGGAGTGCACTGTGAGACAGGTCTCAGACCTCAGCTGGATGTGTCTGTTTAGGAGTTCAGAGCTGGGAGGTGGGGAAGGGAGAGGCTGCTGTGGTTATGGTGGTCAGGGAAGGCATCCTAGAAAAGGAGGTGTAACCTCTAAGGGGGTGTGGTGAGATACAGCTAGAGGACAAGGGACCCAACATACTGAGGAGTACAGGAAATGGCAGACAGGAGGACAGGATGGGTGTGTCAGGGGGACACTGGGAAGGGATCTGTGAGTAGACTTGTTGAACAGGAATGGAAGTGGGAGGTGAGAGATAGACCAAGGGGACTCAGTTGTATCTGCAGCTCAGCATTTGTTACCATGCCTGGACTGGGGGAGCCAGGGATGGAGCACATGGTTCGGGCAGCTGCACCGCCAACTCTGTGAGCTGGAGGCCTGAGTCATCTTCTAGACCGATCTTGGCCAACTGTTCCCCTTTCCATGTTAGTTTGCTTAGTCTGGGGCCCCATCTTCCATCTTTGCTTCAGCTGTTTTTCTTCCGTCAGTCGTGACTGCTGCTGCTTGGTCCAACTACAGTCAGGTGTTTGCCTCTCATTTCTGCCCTGCAGGAGCATCGGACATCATGTGCTCAAAATCATACTGAATCTGGGGTTTAATTTTATACTTAGATTTAAAAAAAGTCCTCTCTTGTTTGGTTGGGGACATATTAGTAAATGTAGTTCTTTTATTTCCAAGCCTCAGATTTTGCACTGGTTTTATTCTCCTTCAGTTTATGAACAGAAATAGGAAAATATTTTCATTCAAAAAAAGACTAGACTTCAAACGATTCTAAATATGGAATTATATTGCAAAGCATAATTAAAGGAAATGAAACTTCCCACTATTCTCCATTTAGATTAAAAGCTAATTTTATGATATACAAAAAAGGTTTATAAACCTTCCCTTGTTTTTAAAAAAAAGAACTTGTCTTAGCCTTGCTGACTCATCATGATTGAATTTCACACTTAGGTTTAATCCTTCCTGGTAAAGGTTGATCAGGAAGAAGTGTCAAACCACTGCAAGGGCATTAGTTCCACCGCAATAGTGTAACTTTTAAGATTTTGTTTTGTTTTGTTTTTGCTTTTGCTTTCTGGGACTGGAATACAGAACTTGGGATAATAATACTTAGTTAACATTTTAAGTGCTCTCATGTGCTAGGTACTGTTTTAAGCATCTGATATGTAGTATCTCACTTTATTGTCACAGCAGGGGGTAGATGCTATTATTATCCCCACATTACAAATGAGCAACAGAGAGGTTAAATAATTGGCTGGGAGATGGCAGGGCCATCTGGTCCTTGAATTCCTGCCTTTGACCCCTCTGCTCTCCTGCCCATCTTCCGTGTTGAGAGCCAGGAACAGTGCAATGAGATAATTCATTACATGAGGATGGCACTTGTGCCTTGCTAGTTGGGATGTGTACAGCAGACTATTATTTTACTCATATTTGTGGTTGAAGATGTGAATTGAATGTTCTCAGTTTATTTTTTCTTTTATTATTCATCACAATTTAAAACATTTCCATTTGAATTCCAGTAATATCTGTCATTTATTCATTCAATGAGCAAGTACTTATCAAGTACCTACTGTATGTCTAGGCTCTTAGAGGCAGTGAGGATATAGGCGTGAACATGACTAAGTAAGATCCCTTCTCTTCTGGCACCTAGATCCTTATGTAGACAATAAATACATAAATTGCTATGAAGAAAATGTAATGCGGTCTCTGAAGAGATGGCATTTATAAGAGACGGACATTAAGTGGGGGAATGAACTCGGGAAGATCTGAGGAGCAGGTTCCAAGCAGAGGGAACAGATGGTGCTAATGCTGGAAGTGGGAGGAGCAGTGGGAAGAGAGCGAAGAAGGAGAGCACATCAGAGACAAAGGAGGAGAAGTGGGCAGGGCTGTCGTCAGGGCTTTGTGGGCCGCTGTCCAGTTGCGATGGGAGCAGGTTTAGAGCAGGGGGCCAACGTGAAGATCACCCTGTGGAATTCTGCAGTGTGGAATGACCTGTGACCCAAAAATACTCTGGGAATAACCTAAGAGAAAGTGTTACCCCCTCTGTAATAACTTCCTGAGTCAGAGTAGCCTAATTTATATTTCAAAGTTCTTTGTCAGGTACCATACGTTGAACAGCCTTACTGTGTCTTCTCTCCCCTTTGTTAGTCATTTGAAGGTGAAAACAATGCTGTGAGCCCCCTACAGGCAGAACATAGCACTGCCTCACATGACCACATGGGGGGTTCAAGTGTTCAAATTGTAGTCTGGGAAACATCGATGCTGAAGAATGGAACTTCAGTTATCCTTAATTAAAAATAGAGGGAGCAGATGTGGAATGGCACAGTGAAACGTCTTCCCTAATATAGTATATGTTCCTTTAGTTTTTGTTATTATAAATAGTTCCTGTGAATTTTTATATATTTAGCCACCCACAGGCATTCTTTTAAAAATTCACATTGTGTCTATTTGAAAAATGCCAGGAGTAATTTAAATGAAGACAAAAGCTTGAAACTATGTATTTTATAGATAGTCTGATCTTTTTTCTTACAATTTAAAATATTGTTGTCATATGTTATTGCTGATGACAAACAGACATTATGTGTACATTTTTTTACCGAATGAAGCTCCAGAAGCGATTCTTACTATATTTCAATTCAGATCACCTGGAAGCAGCAAATTCAAGCAGTATTCTTAAGACACGTGGTGGTAAAATTTTGTCAAATATAGAGAAATGCAGGAATCTCTTCAGCTTGTATGGTTAACAGGGTAAACCCCACATTTATGCTGAAATGTTGGAGAATGGGATATTCTAGCTAACGCTGAAATTTTGGATAATGGAAGTTATTGCCCGAAGTATCTTTGCATTTACAGTTTATAAACAACGAGAAATTACACCATTGACTAAATATTTTTAAACTGTGGTTTGTGTGTGTGTATGCTTGAGATGTTGGCGGCTGTAGGCTCCTCACACCAAGTTCAGTTCTTGTTCTGAATGAGGCCTCTAGGTAAGCTTTGGTTGGAGAGTGAGATTTCTAATGCATACTGACAGCCATGAAGGTAGTTCCAAGATTAGGATTATAGACTAAAATTACTTTATAAAAATATCTCCACTTTGTGGGGGTGGAGTTTGGTTTTTATGGATTATTGAAAAAAATTTATGTTAGTTAAGTACTCTGATGATTGACAATCCAGATGAACAGAAGAGAACCAGAAGCCCTTTCTACACGGGATATGTATTTCAGTATAAATTCACAAGGCAGGTTCTTATCGATCAGATCTCTCACAACTTATAAGAGTCATGCTACAGTAACTCCTGGTAACAGTGCAATGAACTCTAGTAACCGAAAGTTTTTATAGCCTGTGATTTCATTAGACTTGTCTAGACAGCAGTTACTCTCTAAAATCATAGCATGTTAGGACTGGAAGAGATCTAACAAAATATGCTGTAATTTAGACAGCCTGAATATTCTGCTTGCCATCGCTGATGTGGTTTTGGGGCTTGAGGAATTGTGAGAACAGTGACTTCAGGCTAGAAAGTGGGAAACTGATAGGCATAAATATGGGAAGGGCCTAACTTTGGTTTTGGAGGCAAGTACAAACATACAAAAGTATTCTTCTGTGGAAGCCGCAGTACATTTGAAAGGAGTTTGTTGTCTGCTCATGTCTGTCAATACAAGAGGGACCCCTGGAGATCATACCTAGAGAAAGTAATTGGCAGTCACATTTGTGACCTTTTGGATCGACTCTTCCTTGTCAAAAGTGTGCTAGCTTAAACAAAACAAAACAAAACAAAGCTAGCATTCTAATTTTTGGTAATGAAATCCACATGCTGTCAAACAGTTGCATCGTCAGTGGGATTTGAATTGGATCTGCTTGGTTCCCCAACCTTTGGCTGTTTTAAAGAAGTCAACAAAATAACTCATCAAATAGAAAACCTGATGGGCAAACTTTGTAGGGTTGTTTTCCTCTCCTGGCTATTGATATAAAACTGCCAGATGTGATTTAATATAGAGCCTGAACTCCGTAATCTCACAGCTCTGCCAGGCCTGTTAGTGGCAAAGACCAGAAGTTCCTGTGAGGCGAGGGGGAATCCAGTTGCTTTAACTGACTTCGATTTGGTCTCAGCACCTGGGATAAAAATAGCTGTCTCTGAGAAACTGTCTTGAGAGGGCTGTATGTGATTTGGGTGTTCAAACAATTGGATGGGTGGGACGGTTGCTACGTAAGTGTCCTAAGGGCAAATATTAGCTGAGCTTCTCATTAACATAGTGAGAGAGTAACTTGTGCCTCTTGTAAGACTTCTTCAGAGAAAGAGCACTACTGATTTCCTAATGAATTTGACTTACTGGGAATAAACATAAAATGCTTTGTTTTGGTGAGAATTTTTCATTTGAAATATACTGTGCTGTCCTTGTTGCAGTGAGTGAATGACTCTTGTTCTCCCTCTGCCTGTCATGTTCTGCAGGAAGCTGCTCTCTGTAGACAGCTCCCCATGGAAGCTGAGAGTCTGGCCGCAGTTCAGGCTGCTGTCAACCCGCCAGCCGTGACCCCAGACATGAGATCCATCACTAATAATAGCTCGGACCCTTTCCTCAATGGGTAAGTTAACATTTTGGGGCCACTTACTTTTGCCTTCTTTTACTATGTGGTCTAGAGTATAATGGGTGTTATGTTGGGGAAAGGTGGGGACTTGGAGGTTGAGTTGGAGGAAATTGATAGAAGTGGCAGAAAAAGGAAAAGCAGAGTAAGTCATCTACTTTTTTAAAATACCAAATTCAAAAATTGGTTATATGATACAGAGTGAATCCCTAGTCAGTTCTTTGAAAATGGGGATGAATTTATAGTTTCAGTGGGATGGTGCTCTGTAGTAATTATTTGGAGGAATCTTGTGGTTTTACGTGGCCAGCAGGAGGATAAAAGCGTGTCACATGGCAGACAGAGAACAAAATAATTAAGAGATTATGGTTATGGTGAAATGTGAATAAAGTCTATAGTTTAGTTAATAAGAGTGTTACACAGTGTCAATTTTCTGGTGTTGCTAATTGTGCTGTGATTTATGTAAGATGTCCTTGGGGGAACTGGGTGAAGAGTATATTCTTTACATCTTCTGTGCTTGTCTAGAATTACTGCACAATAAAAAACTAATTAGAACAGATGATGTTTTAAAATATGAAACATGAACAGAAGAAAGAAGATAATTTGGCCAGAAATAATTTCTTGAGTACAAGTAGTTGACCTTAATTTAGCCTTTTAAACCCAAATAAAGGACAGTTCTCTATTTTTCCTGTGTCTTTTCTATCTTCAGAGGCTTTTGGCAAACAGACATATTATGAAAGTTATTAAAATAGAGCAAGAGATGAAAACAAGTAACATCTAAAATAATGAAGGAAAGGAGTTTTTAAGTGGTTGGTTTCAAAGTATTTCAAATGTACGGGAAGGTATAAAGAATGACTTAAGATTTTGCCCGTGTACCCAACACCCAGATTTGTCATATTACCATAGATCTTATTTTTTGTTTAAATGCCAATTAACATTTAAACCCATCCCCACCACTGAAATCTGTTTCTTTGCCTCTGCTCCTCCCTAGTGGTAGCCATCATTCAGAAACTGATGTGTGCCTATCACACATATCACTGTACTTCCTGTTGCCTGGTAATGCGTGCCTCCATAAGCAGTATTCCACGTTGTTCTCTCTTTTTTTTAAGTTTATATAAAGGGTGTCATACTCTCTATGTAGAACACAGTATTTGAATTGTTATTTTGAGATGAAGAGGAAATCATATCAATTCACTCTGAATGGCCAGTTTTATTTGCTTAGAATTTAGTAATTTCATTGACATTGGGATGTATGTGTTTCAGAATTAAAAGGAGCTACAGAGTCTGCCTCTCTTCCTTACTTGGAGAGTCAGGCCGAATGGCAGAACTATACTAGGTTAGGGTTCCTGTGACGACTGTATTTTAATTCTGAAATTTCTTCAGTGGGCTCACCCTGAAGCTTCTCCCTCTTTTGCGTCTCCCCAGAGGGCCATATCATTCAAGGGAGCAGAGCACTGACAGTGGCTTGGGGCTGGGGTGCTACAGTGTCCCCACAACTCCAGAGGACTTCCTCAGCAATGTGGACGAGATGGACACAGGTAGGGGCAAAGCCTGCGAGTGTCTGCAGTGTTCGCATCTTAAATGGTCTCTTTAGTCATTTCAGTTCTAAACTCCAACCAGAAACACTTACTGTCAACAACAGCCTAAAAAATAAAATGACAATCGAAAAGCTGCCCAAGCCCCAGGCACTAATTATAGACTCTAGTCTCCATAGTTTATGCAAATATAATTTTATTTATGGGCACAGGATTTTAAATTTTGCTCTTTGTCTTTTTTACTCATCCGGTCTGTTTTGCAATGCTTTCACAATGGACTATTTATGCCAGCTTTTGGTTGGAGTGTTGGGCCACTTTTTCTCTTGAGAAGTGGTACCGGTTTATAGTTCCGCATGCAAATTTTTTCATGTCATTCATTGCATTTCGGAAGCAATTGGCAGTAGATACTTGGAAAGTTAGGCAACTCAGAGGATGCTAAATTTTCAGTTCCAAGTCCCAATATGGTACAATGCCCACCCTCAGCAATTTAAAAGAAAAGTCAGAGTAACTTTAACTTAGTCCCTGGCCTGCCTCGCTTTTAGGCCAGGCCCCAGCTGGCTCCTGAGTTGCCTTTCTTTTTCTCCTCTTCTCAAGGGGTAAGGCCTCCAATTTCAGAAACCAAATTTGGTCTTACTAGCTGAATGTAGACTTAATTATCAAAGTCCAAAATTCCTAGAGGATATTCTAGAACCAAAAATAAATAACAGCTGAGGTTCTACTATTTAGAGTTATTCATGCAGGTTTCTCCTCCGTCATCACTTAATGACAGAAAATTAATCATTCTGTGATAAAAATAATTGCTTTCCCCAATGCCATTGCTGTTACATTCATTTCCTAGATGACTGCTCTTTGTGCTCTGAGTCTAAATGATTGGTCAGCTAAGAGTCAGGTCCAGCCAGGCACCCTACAGTGTAGTCTGTCGGAGCAGCTGCGCCGGGGCCTCTGCAGGCCGTCATCTGCATGTTTAGCGGAATGTACGGACTGTCTTGTGAGGAGTCCCGCAGGAATGGTGTGAGCTGTTTGTTTTGTTACTCTTCCATTTATTACTTGCACTTTCTTCCTCCTTGCCTGTCACCCTCCCTCTTTCTCCATCTCTCTCTCATTATTTTTTGGTGTGAGATTTATTTTGCCCTCTTTGGAACAATCACATGAAGTGGCTTCTTCCTATGTTTAATAATTGTCTGCTTTCATCTTTTAAACACTGGGAAGCCAGTAAAGATAAGATTCAAAGTTAAATAAGAAAAGATTCTGGAAATCTAAATCTAAGCTTAACATTAAAAAAAAAATGGATTCTCTTCTATGGCTTTTTAAAATGACCTCGAGTGCGTACATAGGGAATGTTGAAGCCAGAATATGGAATTAAGTGGCGTTCTGAAAAGAACAGTCTTTGCAGGCCAGCAGCTTAACTTGAATCTTCACTTCTCTACTTCCTGGTAGTGACTTTGGGTAGGTGACATAACCTCTAGGGCCTCAGATTTCTTACCTATAGAATGAGAGAATAATATGCTTACTTCATAGGGTTGTGAGAAGTCATGAGATCACACACGTTAGCACAAAATTCTCTTCTTCTAAGAAGCCTGAAAAATGTACAAATTGGACTTGATCAATGTTACAGTTCCAAGTTAACCTGGTTAAGGGAGTGTCAGTCCATTGAGTTTAAGGTTACGTCTGTCAAGTCTGTACAGAAATGGGTATAGACTTTCTCAAGAGGAGAAATAAGGTGAGGAAAATCAGGGAGTGAGCAGAGCTCCAGTGTGGCTAGGAAAGGTTTATGCAGTCCCCTGACCACAAGTCCAATGGGGACAGGCTGAGCACTCCCTTTGCAAAACACACATGGAAACAACAGCTGGACTTGGCGTGAGGATGGGGAAAGGGAATAGCAAGCAAAGGCTGGGAAGTCACCCATCCTTACAGAATATTCTACAGTAATCACACCCTTTTAAGAATTGCCTGGTCTTTGTCTCTCCCACTTTTTAAGTAGATTAAAAAAAAAAAGACCAAAAATATTACTAGAAGATTATAATGTTGCTCCAGAGATATTTTAAGATTGTTAATTAAACAAAGAACCTTAGTTAGCCTTCTCATGCTTTCCATGACTGAGAAGAGAGGATAAGAGGAATTCTTTAAAACTGAGAGATTTGTTTAGCCAAAAAAAATGTTTTCTTGAATTATTAGAAAGTTAAAGTGGGAAATCAATAAAGATGAATTATTCTGATTGGAGATGAAGAAAAAAGACACCCAATCGTTTAGATCACAGTTTTTTTAAGCCTTAGTGTCATTACACTCTAATGGGTAGGGAAAAGTTATTTTGGGTTTTCTTTCTTATTTTTCTTTTTTTTTTCCCAATATCAGTAACACTGTACTGAGGTCATGTTGAATTTGATTTTTTAAATTATTGCCTTTTGCAATAAAAGACCTATAAAATCCTGCCAAGAGTCATTGATATTTTATGAGTTATAAAAATGAGAAGCCATTAGACTTTGCTGTCACCAAAATGCAAGTTTGGTAACATTTTCCCCTTCACTGGGAAAGATAGAATCTTTCTCCTCAGAAGATGCATATGGTTAAAATGAATTTGCCCCACTTTTGCTCAGAATAGTCAAATTTCTCTGTGTGCTTTTCAGGGAAGCTACTGTAGTTAGTTGTAAGAAACAAAAGCTGATTTAACAAGTTTTTAAAAAATGATATAGTGGAAGTTAGCCCTAGTTATCAATGTTCTTCAGTCTTTGAGCTGTATTTATCCCTTCAGAAAATTGATTTGTTCTATTAATTAACCCAGTTGTTCTAATACTGTGTTCTTAATAAAGTGAATTCCTAGGGTTGTTTTTTTTTTTTGCACAATCAACAAACATTTATTGAATTTCATGTTTGTATAGGTTTGTATGTATAAGTGATGCCCAGAGCCAAAGATATGTGGTAGACATTATATGGCACTTTACTCCAGTTTGTGGAAAAGGGTCTATCATCCCATTTTCAAATGGGTGCACTGAGGGTCAGACAAGTTCATTGTGCCTGAGGTGACATAGCTAAAAGGCTCAGTCCAATGACACATAGGTCAGTACATTTTCTTTTATATAGATTACTATATAATTACTAAGTGGTAATTATATAGTAATCTACTATATAGTAATTTTATATAGTAATCTCCATATAGTAATTACTATGTAGTAATTTACTATTACTATTAGATATGACTATTACTAGTTATGGAGTAAAGAGTAATTGTATATATTACTATTATTCATAAAGAGCGTGTATTCTTCATGTCATATCCCAGACACTTAACTTTCCTCTAGAATAACATTTACATTACACTGTTCTGTAGACTCTAGTCCCATTAGGATATAAATTCTGCCAAAATAGGACTGAATGACTAAATGGCTTTAGGCAATAGTGGCTTAAACAAAATAAAAGTTTTCTTTAAAACTTCTCGAACCTTAATATGCCCGCATGCATTGTGACTCAAAGGCGTTGTGAGAAAGGTGGATAGTCGTTGGGTGTATGTGTTTGCAGGAAGGGGACGATCTTCAGAACAGTTTGTAAAATACTGTGGAAAGGATCCCTAGGGCCGTCAATGAAGACAGCTTTTTAATAGCTTGGTTAAGAGAAACTCCTCAGTAATATCTTTGAACATAAAGAGGGATGATATGGGTGAATGTAAGTTTACAATTAACTCCTTAGATTATAGCTCTGTAATAAGGTATTTATTATAGGCAGGTATCTACTCTTTTACAAACCAGCTCTTGATGCTGCCGTGATGGGAAGGCACAGATCAGATCCACCGTGCCTTCACATGCTCCTTTCCTAACTCCCAGGACTGAACCATTCTGGACCATGTCAACCCAGAACACTGGAGGATTCACCTGTTATCTCTGCATCTCTTAGAAATGAAATCGCAAACTCAATTTCAGTCATATGGTGGTTGAAATTTTGCATGGAGATGAAATAATTTAGACCTATAGCAATATATTAAAAGAAATGCAGATAAGAGTTATGTGAACACTTGAACTGTCCCTCTTTCAAGGGCTCAAAAAAAAGAAATGAACAGTTTCCTTTCCTTGTCTTACAGGAGAAAACGCAGGGCAGACACCCATGAGCATCAATCCTCAGCAGACCCGTTTCCCTGATTTTCTTGACTGTCTTCCAGGAACAAATGTTGACCTAGGAACTTTGGAATCTGAAGATCTGATCCCCCTCTTCAATGACGTAGAGTCTGCTCTGAACAAAAGCGAGCCCTTTCTAACCTGGCTGTAATCAGTACCTTTGTGCCTTGAATGCAGCTGTGACTTGACATTTCCTGGGCCTCTTGGAAAAAGCCGTGGAGCAGAGAGGTCTGCAGGTGTACCACTCCTGCCCCCATGACTCCTGCTCCCTACTTTCCGTGTGGCCAGTTTAATCATTGCCTGGATTTGATTGACAGTAACTTAAGTTAAACATAAATAAATACTCTGTTTTCATTTTCTGCAAGCCTGCATTCCTGCGATGGGTTATGCAGAATTGCGTCTCTGTTTTTCTCTCTGCTGCCCCATGACTAAGCTTTATGGGTGTGAGTTGAAATTTACACATAACTTGATTTTATAAACCATAAAAAGCCGACCACAGGCAGTGACTTCTGACAGGCGGCTTGGTCCAGGAAATGTACACTAAATTATACCCGATTGACAGTTTCAAAAACTGTATTGATGACAGTAGTACCAAATGCTTTAAAAAATATTTAACTCGAGCCTCAAAAATCATTGCATCGCTGGTAAAATTCTGCTGTATGGAATACGGTATAGTTTGGGATCCATGCTGGTTCTGACAGTTCTTATGCTTTGTATTTACAAAGGCACACACAGTCCTATTGTAGTTTATCTTTCATCATTTTATTGCATATTATCTAAACAACTAGTCCTTCCAGCAGGTGAGAGCAGCATAAACCACTGTTCCTACAGTACAGCTCTTATGAAGGAAACCAGCTCAGTACTAATTATGAGCATTTATTAAACAGAACTTGAAAATTGCAAGTTGGATTTTTGCAGCTTAGAACTTGATGTCTATTTTATAAAGCACTATGATTTTGTAGCCGATGACAAAGGGCAGCCAAATTTTTTTTGATGAATCTGTGGCAACTGTATTTTTCTCTTTTGAAACTGTTCTGAAAACATCAGAGCAACGTAGCTTTCAACCTGATGTACACACAGTAAGCTGTTGCTTTTTAAATTCTGAAAGCTCGTTAGTTTTGCTTTCAAGATTTTAAGTGTTTAAACTAATCTCATCTATGAAACTGTAGGATGAAGCAGATCTCTGACTGACGTGTAAAAAAATGCCCCCGAGGTTGTATGGTGGAGACATATGTTTCTGATTCAGTAAAATTGATTCTTAAGTATATTATCCTAACGCTGTTTGCTACAGTTGGTATAAAAAGGCATGAAATATGTACTCAATACCTCTTATGTAACCAAAAACGTTTTGTATGAGCTTCTAAGGACTGAGAGAGCATCAGGTTTACCTGGCATGCACTCTGCCTGCATGGCCAATGAAGTCCTCAACTGTTTAATATTTTGAACTGACATTATTTATAATCTATGAGTTTAGTATCTTTTTTGAAAGACATTAATAATTCAGGTCTCTGAGAGGAACCTTTCAATTCCCAATGGGGCCTATTTGTTGGGGATCTTAGATAAGATCCTTTTCGATCTACCAGAGCACAGACAGGCAGAATACATTTTATCTTGTTGGAAAGAAGGCAAGTGTCAAGGTCAGAGATGAAGTAGTAAAGTTATGGGATATGGTGGAAAGGATACTAGTTGTGGGATGGAAATAGATAAGTTAAAGTGCCCCAGAAGCAAGACAAGCAGGAGGTTCACGAGAGGTAACCTGAAAGAACAAAGCAACAGTTTTCTACTACATCCTTTATATCAAAAGACTGTTGCAGCAGAAAAGAAGGCTTTGGTGCACTTTATGTGGGAGATGGAGGGGTAGGGATGACGTCGCCTTGTCCATGATGCTGAGCATGTCTGTGGACAAGAGCATAAACCTACTGTGGCTTCCAACACAATGAAGTGATTTCTTTCCCCTGAAGGACCTGTGGTTCCTCTGATTCCTTCTCTTTCTAAATGCTGAGAGAGACGGGTGGATGTGTGTGTTGCTATTAAATTAAAGGGAGCACTATTTTGGTTTCTCTTTGTTAGCAATTACTGCAAGAAGAGTTGTACATTCTTTATAAGGATGGAAAAAACCAAAAAAACAAGGGACCTAACAAAACTGAGCAGTGTTACTGTATTTTAAAAAAGTATTTTTGTAGACTCCTTTTCAGGTTATTAAATGTAAGAGAA